GGGGGGTTTTGGGGGGGGGTATGAGGGTGTTGGGGGGCGGTTTGTGGCTGTTGCAGGGGTGTATGGGGGTATTTGGGGTGGGTTTGGGGGTGTTCGTGAGGTTATTAGGAGTTCTGGACCCCCCCCCCCAAAAAAAAAGAAGAAAATTGCCGGGTGCCGACGACCCCCGACCGGTAGGTGCCGACCAGCCGACCGGTTGGCGGGTCGGCAGCCGACCAGTCAAGGGTCGCGGACAATCGGGGTGTGCAACACTGGAGCATAACAAAAAAGACGATGGCAGCTCAAAGAAGTTGCGAGGAGCGGGTCCTTCAGGACATCCATTAAAAATTGATTGGCCCGATACAGAGAAGATTAGCATGGCCCCTGCACAAATCTGGCAAAAAATGGAAAAGAAAAAAATTGCGAGGAGCGGGGTCTGTAAGGCCCTGTTGAAAGAAAGAAAACAAAACAAAAAAACTACAAGAAGTTGCGACGAGAGTACTTCACACACTCACATGAGTCACAACTAACTCACATGCCCTTTCTTTTCGTTCTCTGGATACCAGCACAAGAGGGGGGCGCTCATCACTGACATCACCGACGGAAAAAAAAAAAAAAAAAATGTAAAAAAAAAAAAAGCACAATGAATGACAATTTTTTTTTCCCCCCCCCAGGAAAGTGACAAGAAATTCTGCCAACGCTGAACGGCGAAAAACTACAGAGACAATCCTACCCGGAGGCTATGTTCAGTGGAACCCTGTGGAAATTCGTTCAGAAAAATGCTCCAGAATGGGGTCAGACCGCGCGAAGGGTGACCTTCGGATTAAGCGGGTTCGGTAGGAATAAATTTGAAGTGGGTTAAATACTAAATAGTAAATAGGACTTAGTGGAAGCGGGAGTGAATAGGACGTGACGGGGACCCTTAGGGCCGCGCGTAAGCAATGAAAGGTTCGGGAATCTGGAGACCGGGCCGGGAATTTCGTACGATGGGACTGGATGCTGTTGTGAATAGGATACGACTGAGTGAAGTAGGAAGGACCTAATGTTTGCTATTAATAGGTAGGATAGTTTCATACTAGGCCTCTTTCGATTTGAAACGGGCCCCCTGAGGAGGCTGGTTCTGGCTCCAGCCGAAACGCGGCGTCGGGGACCGCCAGCATGCGACGACTTTTGTCGCGCATTGCGTACTTTGACATTGTGTGATTACTTCCTGTTCGTCATTTTGCGACGACTTTTGTCGCGCATTGCGTACTTTGACGCTGTGTGATTACTTCCTGTTCGTAATTTTCGAAGTACTACGTTTCGTTTCCGAATTGACTTTTTTTAAGTTTTTTTTTGGCTATTTTTACTGTTCATTTGTGTGAACGTCAATGCGTCTTTGAGTACTGTTTCCCGATAGTACGATCTGCACCGTACAAATTACCAATTTACCCGCGAGAATGCAGACTCCAACGAAAGTGTGAATACCGAGGTACAGAAGAAAGAGGGGAAGTAAAAAAAAAAAGAAAAAAAAGAAAAAAAAGAAAAAAAAGAAAAAAAAAAGAAAAAAAGAAAAAAAAAGAAAAAGGTGTAAAATCCAAGTCAGAAAAGAGAGAAAGGGAAATGAACAAAAAAGTTGGGAAAAAAAAGAAAAAAGGGACATGAACTAGTGAGGCATGTTATGTTATGAGAGAGAGAGAGAGAGGATATATAAAAGAGAGAAAAAAAAAAAAAAAAAAAAACCCGTGCAGCATGTTATGGTTTGAGAAGTCTGTCCTCCTCGTCCCGGAGAATGCTGTTTGTTTTTCACAAGGGCGACAGCCTTGAGATGTCATCGTCGAAGTGACCGACCCAAGGTAATTCAGAATTGTGGTATTTTGTTCATCTGCTTCCAGTGGCATTCGAACTCAGCACCTGGTCTGTATTTCAACAGTTCAGCTCAGGGGGGGGTGTACCAACTGAGCTAGGCCGGTCGGTAATGCTGTTTTTTTTTTTGTTTTTTTTGTTTTTTTTTGTTTTTTTTTTTTAAGTGCTGTCTGTTTTTTGCTTTTAGGTTGTGACCAAAATAAGTTTTGCCTGGGAGGCACTGCACTAGGTCAACCAACCATCTCTTTGCTGAGGCAGGGAAGCACTTTTTTTTTCCTTCTTTTTTTCTTTCCAAAAAATACATCAGAAGCAGAGCAAGAGACAAATGGTGGTTAGGGCAGGAGAAAAATTGTACCCTGTTGCGGTGCCGATTGACGTTCCAGGCCTCGAGGACGGCGGCGCAATTTGACCCACAGCTAAGTGAATCTGCACATCTACCTTCTTCCCCCGAATACCACGCACGGTCATTATAGCTGTATTTAGACTGAAATATGCCTCACATACACAGCTATAATGACCATATGTTGTATCGGGGGGAAGAAGGTAGCTCTCCCACAGCTGAGGTTACAGGATGGCGCTACCCATCCCATCATAAGCCGGACGTCCTCCACCGTGCAAGCAGGGATTCGAATTGGCGACCTTGGCCTCAAGAGCCAGGTGTCTTGACCACTACAGCCAGGCCAGCCAAGGAGACATTTGATCGCCAAACGCATAAAGAACGAGTCTTTGGAAATGAAAATAGTCTCACAAATTTCAACAAACAGCGAATTCAGTGAAAATGAACGCATTCATCGAACGCGTAGCATTCGTGCTCGAGCGCGGCAAGCGTAGGCAAATTTCAGCTGTCACAGAGAACATATCGCAACAGCCATATGGAATTCGCGAAATGACGACGTCTGCTGTAGTGTCTTAAACCACCAGTACATCTGGAGAATCCGAACGAAGCCTCTCCGAAAAGGCAGGGGACTCGGGACAGGGCCTGCCTGGGGGCTGCTGACTTTTTGTTTCTCGGGGTTCCTGCGCTCAGATTTTTCATCTCTTTTCATCTCTTTTCCCTCTTTGTCTTGTCTCTCACTCCTCTTCCTATGTTATTTGCTTGTCGTCTTTTCACGGTTTTTTTTCCCGCGTGTATTACGTGTGTTAAGCATGGCTGAATGATGACATAACAAATGCGACAGCATGGGACAATTTCTTTTTTTTCTACAGGCACTTTGGACACCCTGTCCTGAGCCTCTGAGATTTTAGGAGAGGGTCTGAATCGGATTCTCAACTTGGCTGGGGCCATGTAACTGGTGGTCTAAGTTGGTATTGACTATTTATCAATCGATTGCAGACTCGAGGACGGGGACGGGAACCCCCGACGCGTGTCCCCCGTCACCATGGGCTCCTCACTGACAACGAGGTCCTCCGAAATAAAAGTAGGTGCACCAATTTAATCAATTTCAAAATTTCCAATACTGTTTACCACTGTCATAGTCAGTGAAGTCCGCGGGACTGGTTCATGTGCGCTGCCGCGTTCCCCCAAACACGAAGCACGCTCATCGTGACTGTACCGGACCGGAATGGTAGCTTGTGTACATGCACATGATCGAAGTGCGTTATGTTCGGGGGAAGACAGTAGTGCGACAAAACTGGAATCTTGGTAGGGATAAACTACCGGTACGTTGGAGCCTTTTTTCTCCGACTCGGACTTCTGCTCCGCATATACCAAAAGAAAACAGACCGGCGCAAGCGCAAAATTGCATTTTTTTTTTTTTGGCCCGCGGCGCTGCCAGCCTTTTCTGTCCGGCAGGCTGGAGGCCCTAAGGACGCACCGTGTTAACCGCCGCATCGGAATGAAATAGGTGGGGAACCTACTGGTGGTGTAATGTGCTCCTCATGTCTGTGTTTCAGATTGCCATTCGGTTGATAAATCGATCTTCCCGATCCCGATGCGTTGGCCAATCAAGCAGCTAGTACTTGTTCTTGTGTTGTCACAGTGGTGGGTGGTTTTGGGGGCAAAAAGGGGAGGAGATCTGTTGGGTATTTGGATGCTGGAGTGTTTACCATTGGTGGATTGGTTTCGACTACCGTCGTCCCCTGAACTCAAAATGCCCTCATCATGACTGTATTTGTCCGGGAGGATAAACCCAGTGGGAGCCACTTTTTTTTTTTTTTTTTTTTTTTTTTTCCCCCCCCCTCACAAAGCCCCCCTGTATTCTGGGGGGCACCAGTCGGGTTACGAATCACCGGCAACTTTGCGGCAAGCATGTTTGTACATTTAAAGAAGCGGGGGAGATCAGATCAAGAAAAGGGGAACAGCCCAACCCTTGTGGCACTGATATTGATCTTCTACCAAGGGGGGACCTGCTAAAGGGGGCCCACCCCCCCAAACCATGGTCTTTCTCTGGGGGTCACCCTGCTGGCCGGGAGGCTTCCTAGCAGCACCCAGACACGCGCAGGGGGACCCTCAGAGTTGCGTGGAGCGTCTTCGAAAGGCTGACAGGCATGTGGAATGGTGCGATGAAGCATGCTGACCATTAGAAAGACGGGGGAATATCGGTGATCGAAGTGCACTTTTTTCGTTTTTTTGTTTGTTTGCCTTTTCAGAAATTCAGCCCCCTGTAGTTTCTCTTTTCCTTTTGGAATGCAGTGTGTTCATATACTTTTTCTTTTTTGTTTTACGATTTAATTTCTGTGAAATGAAGGACATCTGGTGGGAACGAATCGGAAAAGGGAGAAGTGATTACCACTGGTTTGGTTTACAGAGAGGGGGGACTAATTTAATCGATTGGCATTTTTCGGGTGGAGCAGTGATGGCGGCGTGTGCATTTTCTTGTTCATCTGCTGCTGCTGTTAAGGGCGCAGCATTTGTGAGAGGAACTGAATCGCTGTCTGCCGAGGTGAAAAGTGGGCATGTGACCATCCCTTCGGCAACGTCCTCGTCTTCATTTCAAGCTCTGTCAGCTCGTAGACATGGTCATTGCTTGGAGAGTTCGGCGGCGACATGGAGGACAGGGAATTCGGGAGAAGCAGGAGGGCTTTTGAAGCGGGCAGTGCGTGACGAGGGAAGCTGCCAGCGAAAGGGTATGGTCGCCCTGCGAGCAAGCACAAAAGAGACATCCGAAGCGGCCTCTGCACGATCCTATAAGATTACTCTTCTCCCGGGCGATGGCATCGGCCCAGAGATCATGAAGGTGGCGAAGGAGGTGCTGAAGATGGTTGGTAAGCAGGAAGGAATGAGGTTGGAGTTTGACGAAGCTCTGGTAGGAGGCGCTGCGATTGACGAGTACGGGAATCCGTTGCCGGAGTCGAGTTTGGCGCTCTGTCGTAACAGCGATGCGGTTCTTCTTGCAGCCATCGGAGGGTATAAGTGGGACAATAACCCTGCTCATTTGCGTCCCGAGAGGGGTTTGCTTGGTCTAAGGGCAGGTCTGGGGGCGTTTGCAAACCTGCGACCTGCCACTGTGCTGCCGCAGCTGGTGGACGCTTCGACTCTGAAGAGAGAGGTGGTGGAAGGTGTCGACATTATGGTCGTGAGAGAGCTCACGGGCGGCATCTACTTTGGCCAACCCAAGGGCTTCGGGGTGAACGAGGCTGGAGAGCGCACTGGGTTCAACACGATGATATACAGCATCCCGGAGATCGATCGGATTGCACGAGTGGCATTCGAAATGGCGAGGAAGAGGAGGGGGAAGCTTTGCTCCGTAGACAAGTCCAACGTGCTGGAGACATCTCAGCTGTGGCGTGAAAGAGTGATCGAAATCGGTAAAGAGTACCCGGATGTCGAGCTATCGCATATGTACGTTGACAACGCTGCGATGCAACTGATCCGCGCTCCAAAGCAGTTCGACACGATCGTAACTGGGAACATCTTCGGTGACATCTTGTCGGACGAGGCGTCGATGCTCACAGGTAGTATCGGAATGCTTCCCTCAGCAAGTGTTGGGGAGTCGGGGCCCGGGTTATTCGAGCCTGTCCACGGTTCTGCCCCCGACATTGCAGGTCAGGACAAGGCTAATCCTTTGGCCCAAGTGCTGAGTGCGGCAATGATGCTCCGGTATGGACTGAGCGAGCCGGTAGCAGCGCAGAGGATCGAGGCCGCGATATTCAACGTTCTTGATATGGGCTACCGCACGGGCGACATCATGTCAGCAGGGAAGACGCTCGTTGGATGTGCACAGATGGGGGACATTCTTCTGGAGTCTCTCAGCCAGAGCACAGAGTCTTATGCCACTCCACTGACTCCAGTGACCGCTTGATGTACGTAACTTAGAGAAATATTCGCCGCCGACTCGCCGCTGGGGACTCTCTCAGGCAGACCGGCAGACAGACTTACGTCGGCACAGTTGTTCAATGTGACGGTCTGCAGTTTGCAAGACTGCCCACGACTCACGATCAATGGGAAATAATCGCTGTTGTAGGATTCTTCATCGGTGTTATTAAAAAAAAAAAAAAAAAAAAAAAATCCTTCATTGGTGTTGTTGTTAGTATATTCTTATAACCTCCTGAGAAGCGAGAAAACGCCTACTAGCTGGTTAAGGACATGGTCGTGCAAAAAAAAAAAAAAAAAAAAAAAAAAAAAAAAAAAAAAAAGAAAAAGGACATGGTCGTGCACGGAGAGTAGGAGCAATCTCTCCATTCATTAGTGTGTGAGTTTCGAATCGGATGGTTAAAAAAAAAAAAAAAAAGTTTTGTAACCCTCCTGAGATCATGGAAGAGGGTGCTTGGCCTACAGGTATGTATGTGGCCGAGCGTTGAGCAGTTGAGAAGTGTCACTGTCCTTTTTCCACTCCCTATCAGAGCACGCCGTTGGAAGATGCATCTGCCCACAATTCTGGGGCAGCATCATCTGGACGGCTGGAAGACGGAACCCCTCGGCACCCTTTTGCATGAGAGCTCCTCAGCTGTATGCGTTGTCTTTGCAGCCATCGCTCGACGCTCTTATCCTCAGCTGGTTGACAAAGGAGTGAGAGTGAGCTTATCCCATCTGCCCTTATCAGGTCATCGATAGGAGAAGGTTGACTCTGGTCATCGCTACGAGGACCTTTTTTGACTTGTTGACCCAGCAGGGTCCCTTCTGTTTGGTCTACAGAGAGTTCGCAGAGCTGTTTTGGATGTTCCCTCTCGCTTCTCAGGTGATTGATTTCGAGGAGGCGAAGAGCACTCATCCTGCTTATGAGAGGGATGGTTTTGGCGGTGCTTCCCCTTTGTTCCGTCGACCGTGCATTCTTTCCACGGACACCTCTCTACCACCTTGAGCGCCTAGCAGTCGGAACACGGCACCACATCTCGTGCTCATCGGTCCAGCGAACACCGGGCCTCTTTTTCCGATGAGCACTACATCTCGTGCTCATCGGTCCTTCTAGTGTGTCTTCAGCGAACACCGGGCGCTTAAACCACCTTGAACAACTAGGAGTCGGAACACGGCACCACATCTCATGCTCATCGGTTCTTCTAGTGTCTTCAGCGTGCTTCTACGTCCCAAGTGTTCGCTACGCTTCACTTCTAGTGTCTTCATTGTGTTTCTACGTCCCAAGTGTGTTCCACTTAACCTACTGCTGCAGATCCCAAATACCTGATCGTCGCCCGATCCCCCGTGGAGATCGACGGCTGCAGGTTGACAGGCTATGGTGTCAAAGAGGTTGATCTTTGTTTCGCTATGGTTTCTTGCGGTCTCAATTGTGATCTGATGGTGATGGTGGAGAGCAACGGCTGCGGTTTTTTCCTTTCTCCCAGCCGCTCTCGTCCTCCTCTCAGGGACGGCTTTGGTCGTTTAAGATTTGATATCACACTCATGGGCATCATGTTGAAGGTTGACAGGCTATTACGGTGGCAACGAGGTTGATCTTTCTTTGTTTCACTGCGGTGATTTCTTCCCATCCCAATTGTGATCTTCTCTTTTCACCTCTCCCAGCTGCACTCGTCGCCCTCTAAAAGGGCGGGGGCGATGGTTTTGTAAGATCGATATCAGACTCATGGACATGTACTACAAGGCTGACTGGCTATGGTGTCAAAGAGGTTGATCTTTGTTTCGTTCCCGTTGGTTTCTTGCCGTCATAGTTGTTATCGGATGCATTGGTGGAGATCGACGACTGCAGGGTTTTTTTTTTTTTTTTTTTTTTGGTTTCTCCCAGGTCCCCTCGGCGTCATGTCAGGGCGAGCGGTGGTAGTTTAAGATAGCTATATCGGACTCAGCACAGCCCACTGGAACTCGCCAAGCCCTTCCACCTGTAGACTGTAGGCTTCTGGCTCTCAACAAGGCATAGGACCCAATGAGACAGAAGCCTACAGGCTACTACAGGTAGAAGGGCTTTCAAATTGGGTGAGATCCAGCGAGAACCTGATGGCAAAATAAGTATGGAAGAAAAAATGTGATTGAGTTACTCGAGTATGATGGTAGGGTAAAATAATTGTGTCCTCAACCATCCCGGTATGCGGTGTTCTCCTCGTCTTTCTCCTCCCCACTCCCCAGCCATGCCCTTGTCTATCTTGAAGTTCCCGCTTTGCAGTCTCCCTCCTTTTTTTCCCAAGTCTGCACTCCTTTTTGCGACCTCCTCGCCACTCTCTCCCCCCGCGCCGGCCTCGAAAACCCCTCCCCCCTTAGGCTTGCCCTCATCTATCGTCCTGCTTTGCACTCTCCCTCCTTTTTTCCCCAAGTCTGCACTCCTTTTTTCGCCACCTCCCTGCCCTCTCCCCTTGCCCAGGCCTCCTAAACCCATCCCCCCCCCCTTAGCCATGCCCTCATCTATCGTACTGCTTTACACTCCCCCTCCTTTTTCCCAAGTTTGTACTCCGTTTCGCCACCTCCACGCCCTCTCCCCTTGCCCAGCCCTCCCAAAACCCTCCCCTTGCCCGTGCCTCTATCCCTTTCCTTTCTCCCCCCCCCTGTGACCTGATCGCTGACATCCTTTTTTTTTTTTCGATAACCCGGTTTTTCCCACGATGATCTTTTCCACCTGCGAAGCCACCACATCCCTGTACAATCCTTTTTTTTTTTTTTTTTTTTTTTTTTTGGGGAGATGTTATTGCTGAATTCCAGGCAACTACCTCCTAGTAATTCTTTGCTCCAAATTCCCTCCAATCAATCACTCTGACCACCGCCATCGATCTGATTTTATATATATACTAGGTTGTTTTATCGGACGTCCGGGACCCCCCTGACCGTCCGGGATGTCCGACCGGACGTCTGGTCGGACGTGGGACCGGACAGTGGATGCCCGACCTAGCGCGAAAAAAAAAAAAAAAATGTTTTTTTTTTTTGAAAAAAAAACATGTGGCTTCTACCTTGCATAATGTGTATGTCACCAAAATTTTGGCTCATTTGAGCCAGTAGAAAAAAAGATAAAAATCTTCAAAGTTTCTAATCCCCACCTATACCCCTTCTATCCCCACCAAAACCCCTCGTAACCCCCCCTCGCATCCCAAATAGCACCCTATCACCAAATGCTCAGAAAATTCTGAATTTTTTTAATGGGGGGTCTCTATGGCATGCGCAGCACTGTCATTTTTTTTCTTTCTTTTTTTAATGTCAAAAAGTGGTTGTCTGGGATCCCGGACGACGTCCGGCCGAGACCATTTCTCGATTTATGCGTGTCATCCTTGCGCAGGGCCCGTGCTAATCTTCTCTTTCTCTGTATCGTTCCAATTTTAACGGATGTCCCGAAGGACATCGATCTGACTTTTTTTTTTTTTTTTTGGACATCTTATTACTGAAATTCTAGGCAACTAGCTCCTAGTAATTCTTTGCTCCAATCAATCACTCTGACCAGGGCAATCGATCTGAAGATTCTGAACCGGCAGTTCAATCAATACTGACTCTGATCGATCAGAGTATTGATTGGATTGAGTGGATTGATTGGATTGATTGGATTGCTTGGTCATCTATCATTTCTGGCAAGTGCTCATCCATCCAATCAATGAAGGGGATTGCAGAGTGAACTTCAAGGCAGGTTGCGGATAACACTGGATATTGTTTGATGGCCTTAAAATGAGTGCATTTTCCCAACCATTACACGCCATGAGGTGGTCTCGGGCCGCTTTCAGAGGGCCGAAACGCGATGAAGCCTGCCGATTGATTTTATCAACGGCCGGCCTGATGCGACAGGTCTGGAAATGAGACTGCTCGAACCGGCTCCCGGAGCACTCTCGTCCTCCGAGGATCTCCCTCGAACCAAACCAGGCCGTCCTTTTGGTCTTTCGTCCGTTTGAAGCAAGAGCAACCCCGATCTATATATATGTTAGGCGGCCGCTTCGTGTTGTGAAGAGCCATAAAGTCTTGAAAAGCAGCCTCGGGCAATTGTCCGACGCCTCCGGACAATTTTGAGGTTCTTTTTTTTTTTTTTTTTTCAATTTTGAGGTTTCGAGAGTAGTGTGGTGAGGGCCTCTATCTGGGACCTTTAAAATTTTGAGAAAACTAGGGCGCTGTCATGGTTAGAGTTTCTAAATACATTTGAAATTTTGAAACTCAGTCTGCCATTTTGGAGTCCACTCCCGTCTGAAGTTTACACTGCATGCCAAACTCCTCGGTCACATGGCTGCCGTGGGGCAGAGAGTTTGTAATTGCAGTCTAGCCATCGAAGTAGAGGGGGGGGGTGGGGGGGCAGGCCGTTTTCCCCCCCCAAAAAAGAAGAAACAAGAAGAAAAAAAGAAAAGATGGTGGCGCTGTATCTTTTAATGTTCTAGCGGAAGATTCACTCTCCCTCAGTTTCCACGATTGATAGGGCCTTGCTCCGGTACTCTCGAAATGCGCAAAACGAGAGTGAATCTTCCGCAAGAACATGGAAAGATACAGCGTCATGATTTTTGTCTTTTGTGCAATGGGAATACAGGGGCCCAACGAGATACACGGGCTGATAACAATGCAGAGGCCTTAGGGGATACACGTGCTGACAACAATGCACTTTCTTTTCTTTTCTTTTTCTCTTTTGTTTTTTCCTTCTAAGTGGCTCGTTCGACACTCCTTGGGGCGTCCTCGGCGCCGAAGGAAGTTTCCTTGGGGGGTTTCAAGGAAATTCCCGCCATCGCTCCACCTGTCCTCGGGGACGTCGCCCGAGGACATTTCCATCGCACGATGTCAGACAAGCAAAAAGAAAAGAAAAGAAAAAATCAAATGTGTTTGAGGCCTTCAGCCAATACGGTGCCGCCACGATCCAGATTCTCGGTTGTAACGTCTCTCTACCCATGTGCCCACTCCTCTCCGTGAAACGTGGATTCCTTTTGCCCAAGGGACCTCGTGAGGTCCCTTGGGCAAAAGGAAGAAATGGCTGGGGAATCCTCGGAGCCCAAGGAATTTCCTTCGGAGTGTTTTCACTTTTTTTTTTTTTTTCCAACTGCATCCCCGAGGATAGGTGGAACGAACAATTCCTCGGGCACTTTACACGCCCGAGGAGTGTCGAACGAGCCCCTAAGATTTCCCGACTTATGCATGTCATCCTTGGGACCTCGTGGAGGTGCATCTTTCCATGTTCTGGCAGAAGATTCACTCTCGTTTTGCACATTTCGAGAGTAGTGGAGCCCCCCCCCTGGCTCCACTACTCTTGAGATGTGCAAATTGAGAGTGAATCTTCCGCTAGAACATGGAAAGATACAGCGCCATGATTTTTGTCTTTTGTGCATGTCAAGAATAGTGGAGCAAGGCCCTCTGGTTTTGTTTGTTTGTTTCTTTGTTTTTTTGAAATCT